TATATCATCCGTTTCCACAGTTTGATCTCATATGTGATAAGTCGATGTATGGCTCCATCATCGTCACCATYGTTTCGGTTGGATCTGCAGTAGGAGTAATATTGGTTGGTATGATATCTGACTGGTTTGGCCGTARAACAGCCATTTTCCTTTCTGGCTTGATTGTGAGCAGTATTCTTCTTTATTTACGATTCTCTCAGAGTTTTTGGATGGTGGTTGTTCCAATGTTCATTTTTGGAATCGGTCATTGTAAGTAACTGAGTTCAACTTGTATAGATGTACGTTTCAGGAAATGGTATATGTAGGCAATGAACGATTTTTGAGAGGCCTTGTCGCAATAATATCCGAAGTGCAAGCCCGGTTGATATTTTCAGCTGAAGATGTAGTATCTTRATTTCATGCGCGGATCGCCTTCCAAGAAATATAGCACGCCCTTCCTTGGAAACCGGACCGAATGCAATTTAAAATTTAATTTGCTTTTTACACTTTTAGTTTCATATATTTTGGAAAGTCGCTCCTAAAAACTTTCAAACACTAATAAAAAATCTTTTAATTTTTAGATGGTGCTTTATTCACCGGTCTTGTTTACATCGTGGAATTCGTCGGCATCGAGCAAAGGCCCTTGTATGGTAACCTCTTTTGGACGTCGTATGGGCTGGGCTTCGTGGTCTTTGCAGGCATTGCCTACCTTGCTCGAGAATGGAAAACATTGGTACTTATCCTTGGACTTTGTGGGCTGCCTGGCTTAGTGTTATGCTGGTAAAGTTCATATTTCATTTTAAAATGGTACATGTATGTCGGCATCACAGTTCAACTTGTGTTCCATGGTCTGGGCGCGTCTCGTTTACATATCGAAAAGCGAGGAAGACGTATTTTAACGTTATGGAAAAGGAAATCAAAAATATAGTTGTGAGGTTATAAAATTCTATTTCAGGTTGGCACCTGAGTCCCTTCGATGGCTAATAGTTCAAGAAAAAGAAGAACAAGCTCGGAAAACGTTGCAACTCATTTCCAAGATAAACAAAAAAGAGGTACCACATGACATCACACTGCCAAGATATTCCAAAACGAAAAAATCTTCTCATGATATCAGATTGTTGTTCCGCGGAAATTTTGCAAAGTATACTCCAGTAATCTGGTTTGCATTGTAAGTAAACAAATATTAGATATTTTCCTAAAAGTGTCGCACACAATTCCGTATGTTTTTTTCAAAGAAGGCAAGACTGATTTCAAATTATCTTGTCTTTTTAAGCTTCGCGAACGCAATGATCTACACCGGTTTATACCTAATCGCCCCTAACATAGGAGGAAGTATATATCTCAACTGGTTTCTTGCTGGGGTAACAGAAATATTCAGCGCCGGTTTAGGATCGTGGATTCATAGCAGGTAAACTAATACACGTCTGTTATTGTCATTGACTAGACTCGGAGGTTTTAGCTAATGTGTGGATAAAGCTAGTGTTGCGATTTAGTTAAACCGAGCTGATTAAAATATGGTACGTACAATGGTACCAACGCAAAATAGCAAAACTAAAAGAAATATGATAAAAATAAAGCTTATATTTTAATTATTTTTGCAGAGTGTTGAAGTTTATTTATAGTC